TCTCTGGTTTCATTTAAAAGAGCCAGTCATCAGATATTGTCCAAGATTAAACTTCAGGGTGGATATAGCTCGCTAGCAGTCTCGCACCGAGGACCTACCCACGTCAATCATTTATGCAAAATGCTTTGTGTGTAAATAAAATGGCCCCGTCCATGTAATATATTTTTAAACTTTTAGTTTAAAAATTATAAAAACTAAACATCTTACAGCATTTTGGAGTCCTTATTTTACAGTTAAAGTATATGTTTATCAAATAAAGCCTAATGTTACAACTAATCGGGGATCCCTTTAAAATAAATGAAATCTTAAATATTTTACAACGGCTCACACAAACGCCCCTTTACAAAGCAATTTGATATATTCTTGTTTACATAGAAGTCCAAATATAGGTGCAGCAGCATGCAGCTGTAGCACTTGCAATGCAGCCGGGGGGTAATTACAGCAGGATGATCATGAAAAACAAAAAAAACTGTGCTAAATAATGTCCGGCCCGATTAATCCATGTTAACTAATGAGATGAATATTTATTATTAGAAGATGTTGGTAGCATCTAAGCATGTGTGTGTTTTGAAGAATTGTAAATATTCAAAATGAGAAAAATCAAGTGAGATCACAAAGGCTCATACTTCTTCTTACTACCTCTCAAATACAAACTGTAACTTGTAGTTCCTAAAGTTGGGGTCGGGACCCCACGGCGGGGTCTTTAAAAAGTTTTCAGAGTTATTTCCATTTATAAATGACTACTAACAACATTTTTTTGCCTTAGTCGTTAAAAAGATGTAGTTAAGAATAGATAAAAGTAGCATACTGAATACTGTCACTACCTGACACCAATGTTTATCACCCAAAAATAGTTGGGGAGGGGGGCAGTATTTGTTGCTGTTGTTTTGTGAGTCAAAAGCTGAAAACTTTAGTAGCCATTGCTATAAATGACGACACTAAGTTTATACCCTTTTCCTTGTCTTTTCTAAATAAAATATCCCAAACAAGTGTATAAAATTAAATCTAATTTTTGTCATGAACAGTCTTTCTCACTCTTCAACTAGCTGTAAAATTGTCATTCTGGGAAGAGATCAAGTTTTTTTTCCTCCAAACAGGTCGTTCAAGATTGATCTACAGCTGGTAAGATATTGACTGTTCATATGCATTCCATAGAACCCCTCTTTGAAACTACTATGGTGAAACTGTCACTATACCTTACTGATGTGATGTATTGAGAAATTAAACTCTGTAAAGTCTAATGGTGAAATCAAAACAAAGAAAAGAAAGTACCTGTCCAGCAGTGTCCACCAGCTGAACTTTGACTGGAGATCCTTCAACTTGGACCTGACCTGTTGGAAACATGAGCTGTTAGTTTCACTTCAAGACATCAGTCAATTCTAACAAGCTGATTTAAATAAGCCAAAGCTTTTTTTTTTTTTTTTTTTTTTTTTTTTTTTTT